CTCTCCATGAGTTCTCGTAGCTCAGTGGATAGAGCGCCCGCCCGGTGTTGGGGAGGTCATGGGTTCGATTCCTGTCGGGGACTCAGAATTTTTTTCTTTGTCCCACGCTCGTGTCATGTTGATTGATTTACCTTCACATTTCATTACCGAGCTTAAAATTCACCATCTTTATTAACTTATCGAAAGATCAGTGGTTAACACGTTACTCCTTCGTGCGAGAAACATTTCCTCCACGAGTAAAGGGAAACGCGAGGAAACGCGACGAGCAAAAGCGGAGCTTCGAGAGAACAACTACCCCTCTCACTTAACTTAGATTCACCCATCCATCTGTTTTTTCTGGGTCACCCATCATTTTGGCCTGGTCTTTTTTTGGCTTGTGTATATTGTTTTTTGTAATTTTACATCTATACAATGCCAGTTGCGCAGCCAAAAGCTGTAGTCATTCATGCTCATGGCATGGTGACTGCAATGTCTTCCAACGTCATTGTGCAAATGTTGTCCAAAAAGTCGGACTTTAAACAGGTTTTGGCGATCCAATTTATTCCGAATGGTCGTATTTGCGTCACTTTCACGTCCGCGGAATACCGTAATGCCATCCTCGGTAAAAGAGCTATTTGGATCGATGACATACATCAGCTCTAGATCACCGAGTCCGACACTCCTGTCACATCCGTGTATGTCCACTACCTGCCGATGGAGGTGGGTAACGTCGGTATTCGTTTGGCTCTGGCTTCTTTCGGGAAAGTGCTTGACATAACCCATCAGCGCACGGTTTTTCGGGATTCAAGCAGTTCGCCACTGGCACCCGGATTGTTAAGACGTCTCTGGAGAATCACATTCCTTTCCATTGTAACATCCAAGGCTATTCTTGCCGTGTCTGGTACTCTGGTCAGCCCCTTAAGTGTGCGATCTGCAAGGGAGAGCACAAGGCTGTTGACTGCCCAGACAAAAATAAATGCAAAAGCTGTCACCAACCTAGTCATTTCGCTAAGGATTGCAAAAATTCGTGGGGTACTACTCCTCAGGCCCATCATGCCCCCGCCGGCCCTTCCACTGCCCCCAACCCTAATCCACCTGCCCCTGTCCCCAAGGATCCTAATGCTGCACCTCCAGCTGATCCTGTGGTTAATCGGGTTCTACCTCCGTTGATATCTTTGGATATTTCGCCTCCTCATCAGTCTGTGGTGGAATCCTCTGATGTCTCGGGAGAGTCTTCTCAGGGTGAGCCTGTCTGATCACACGTTTCCATGTTCTCTGGATCC